CTGTTTCCTCCTTTGGATCTGGGTTGGCCTGTGACCTGCTTCCCAATAGGCCAGGAATGACATTCTGAGCTCCAGTACTGGGCTCAAGAGGACTCTCAGTCTGTCTGCACCTTCGTGAGAGCACTGACACATAAAAAGGCATGGAACACAAGAGACCATGTGGAGAAGAACTTCATTGTCCTCACTGAGACCCTGACATATAAAAACAAAGTTATTCTGGATCTTCCTCCCACCAGAGCATTGCAGCCACGAGAGCACCAAGTGGCCACAGGACTGCAAGCTGAACTGATGACTCATGAAGAAGTAAGATGTTTGCTATGTTAAGTTTTGTGGCCAATGCAGGCAGTCATAGGTAGCTGAAAAATCACCACGAGAGAGGTAGTAGAGCGAGAAAATTTAAGGATGTTGAAATGTATCCAGCAAAAAAAAAAAAAAAATGACTATTTTCCCTACTCCAATTCACCCTGAAATCTTGTTCAATTAATACAGAAAGATCTTCCCATGACAGTGTGCTGCAGGAAGGATGAGACACCAATGGAAAAGCACAATAGCCAGCTATTGCCATTTCTCTCTTTTATGAACATGTAAAATCAGATTGATTTGCCAGCTGTCGTACACACAAGGGGGTTATTTATTCCCACCCCTGCATGTATCTTCTCGGATATTTCCTTAAGTAGAAAGACAACCTGCCCCTCAATCCTTCCCCCACAAAAGAATCATGGGAATGATGTCATGTATGCTATGCCAGTCCCCCGCTATTTTATATTCTTTGCTACTTTATGATGGTTCTTCATGAAGAGAGTGTGGCACAAACAGTAGTAATCAGTGCAGCACAAGGCAGGAGTTGCCTCTTTGAGGACACATACATGCACACAGTTTTACACACACATGCTTACACACACACTCACAGAGTCATCCACACACTGCACACACACTTTACATACACAGTCTTACATGCACACACTCACACACTCACATCCCTATACTTTCGTACAAACTTACACTCACACGCACACACTCATAGTCACATTTACACTGCACACACACCCAAACAGTCACATCTCATACACTCACACTCACACACACACTCATACACTCACACCTCCGATTCCATGGTCCGGAAAGTGATGGTACTGGAGAGAAGAAACTGATCTGGGAGTGTCACTGCAGGGCCCTTCTGCTCCCCCTCGATGTTCTATATCCCCCTGGTCCACTTACTAATGCTTAGAAGTTCTCCCTGAGGGCCAGATTCTTTCCCTAGGCGGGCTCTCACCTCAGCACACTCATTGGCATATTGGTTTACTCCATCCACTCTGCCCTTTCGAGCTGCCAGGTCCACCTGGAACTCTTCAAACTTCTTGTGCAGAACCTCTGTGCGCTCCCAGTCATCACCCAGCTCCACCGATGTCACTATTGCCTCCTGCAGACAGACAAGTCACCAGAAATCATTGAGGAATTCCTGCAAGTCAAATGCCCTAAGCCCCTCCCTCCTGTTTCTCAAATGGGGGAAGCACCCTTTTATGTGTTAAAAGTTAAAATGTATATTTGAAACATAATAAATTCATCCTGGTTCTATGTAATTTGACATACTTGGTATCAATAAAAGCATTGTGTCAAGCACTTACTTATGCAAATTTTCAGTCCTAATTACAGTATTATTTTTTTAAGTATTTAGAAAAATAGAAACTTCCATAATGACCGAGACTGAGAGACAGGGGTCAGGGAATGAGCTGCCAAGACTCTCAGCCTACACCCAGAAAAAAGCAAACATCTAGAAGGAGTCAGGCATCACAGAAGTTGGGAGGAGACAGGTTTCACTCATTTTCAATGCACAGACCATCCGCCAATGATTTTTGTATAGTCCTGTGTTTTCCATGTTCAATTCCATCCCTTCAGACCTACTCTCCTACAGTAGTAATAACCTCCAAGACACCCCAAATATTTACCAAAATTCATCCTTACAAGGGAGCAAGTCCAGGTACAGACATTCTGATTTCTTAATGAATAGCCTTCGCTAGGTTGCTATGGGATATAGGGCAGCAGGATGAGAAGTGCTGTACCTTGTCTGCGATCCACTCCAGGATGTCTGCACACTCCTGCAGGTACTGCTGGAGCCTCAGGGCACGCAGTAGCAGGGTGCCCTTCTCCTGAGTCAGCTCCAGCAGCAGGTCCCATAGGCGCCGCAGCTCTTCCAGGTGGACCTTTGGGAAGGGAGCAAAGCCATTCAGGCACAGATGCTGTGGGGTAGGTGGAGACTTGTACAGAAAAAGACCTGGATAAAAATGCCTCCTCTGCACTAGCACTAGTTCAACACAAATCTACAAGAGGAAATGGGCTATGTAGGGAATGACCATTAAACCAAACCAAACATGATCTTCCATTACAGAAATGCTTTAAAAATGCTTTGGGGGCAAAGATAAACAGCTGGGACTACATCAAATTAAAGAGCTTCTGCACAGCAAAAGGGACAATAACAAAAACAAAGAGAAACCCCACCAACTGGGAGAACATTTTTGCACACAACACTAATGATAAAGGACTGATCACAAAAATCTGCAAAGAGCTGATGAGACTCAGCAACAACAAAGAAAATAATCCAGTCAAAAAATGGGCAGAAGAGCTAAAAAGAAACTTCTCTGAAGAGGAAATGCAAATGGCCAACAGACATATGAAAAAATGTTCAACATCACTTGTAATCAGGGAAATGCAAATCAAAACTACCATGAGATACCATCTCACACCAGTGAGAATGGCACATATTAAAAAAACTAGCAACAACAAATGTTGGCGAGGGTGTGGAGAAAAAGGAACTCTTCTGCACTGTTGGTGGGAGTGCAAACTGGTCCAACCACTATGGAGAGCTGTGTGGAGATTTCTGGACCTACTAAACATAGAGCTTCCATATGATCCAGCAATTCCACTCCTAGGTATTTACCCAAAGGACACAGAAACATCAATTCCAAAGAGCACCTGCACCCCTATGTTTATAGCAGCACTGTTTACAATAGCTAAGCTTTGGAAACAACCCAAATGCCCAAAAATAGATGACTGGATCAAGAAGATGTGGTACATATACACCATGGAATATTACTCAGCATTCAAAAAAGATAAACACATGCAATTTGCAGCAACATGGATGGCGCTGGAAGGGATCATGCTCAGCGAAATAAGCCAAAAAGAAAAAGAAAAATACCGGATGGTCTCACTCATAGCAGGAATCTAGAAAACTTAAATAAGGGACCAGGAAAATGAATATAAGAAAGTGAAAATCAAAATCAACAAAAAACTATGAACCAGAGACACTTTTTGGGGGGGGGGGGCGGGAGGGGAAGGATTGGGGTCAGAATGGGGCGTTTGCAATTGTATGGGGGAATATAAAAATAAAATTTAATATTAAAAAAAAATAAAAATGCTTTTGGGTTTTAGAGGATGAAGTGGTTACAAACAATATGACAGGGTGGAATAAGGATTCAAAGAAGAGTACTTGTTTGCACTGCACCTTGAGAAGCAGAAAGAATTTTAGATGATGGCAAGAGAGTGTTCCAAGGCCTGGCAAAGACATGGCAGAAATAACATGAACTGTTTGCTGGAAAGGATAAAGCTACAGTTTTGCTCACCTACAAAGGAAATCAGACAACAGCAAAAGGATTTTAGGGTATATAGTTGAGAGTATTGATACTCAGTTTAGCTTAGAAGACCATGTCTTATATATCTTGAAAAATTGAGGGTATCATCTATGTCATGTCTTCAAGAATTTTGCATTTTTTGGTCACCCCACTGCACATAGCACACAGAGCACCTGCCTGTGATAACCCCAGGGACTCTGTTGTTTCAGGCATTGCTCAAATATTTGAATGAAGGAAGGACATTGTTGGCACACACACACACACACACACACAACCCCTGTGAATAATTCAAAAATGATTTCTACTTTATATCAATGAATAAGTTTTGAGACTTTTCTTCTTTCTAATAAGGTTCTACTCTGGTTCAAATCTGTGTTCTCTGATCAGTCCCACTTGGCTGACAATAAAATGGGGTAGATTTTATCTAGGTTAACATGAAAAGATCCTGATTTTTAAATCTGTAATACAGATTTGTTTTTTCACAATTACAAACATAAAGGTAAAAAATCCCTTATGCAAAAGAGATCCTGAATCAACTATATCAGCCCAAACATGTTGGCAGAGCACACAGACTGAGTCAGAATAGAGCTGATGCATTAATAAGGGGTTCCAAAGTTGTAGTGACTCTCAGTGCTCAGGGAAGATTTTTTCTGAAGTCGTGGGTTGTAGGAGAAATATAAACAGCAGCATCTGGAGAACAGCAAGAGTGGTCCCAGCAATGGATGGTGAAGAGAAAGGAGCAGTGTAGACAAAGGAAGAGACACTTCAGAGAAGAACTGGGTGGGACAACAGCCCTGTTTGAAGAAGTTAAAGGACAACGAATCTTGAGATTAGAAGAAATGATGAGAAATGACATTTGGGAAAATTTATTGGTCAGGAAATGTGGAGCCGAGTTGGCATGGGCTTGGTCTTATGCCAAATTATCCTGCTATGGACAAGGTGGAATGAAATACCAGCTCTTCTCCCACAAGGAGCACAGTGCAGTAAAAATTTAGTGGCAGGAGCCCTAGTTTCAAGCCAGAGACATTGAGATTTATACATGGCAAAATCAATGAAAGCATAATCAATAACTAGAAGCTTCTCTTGGAGACCCTGACCATACATTTACCTTGGTATCCTCATGGGCAAAATGACCCTCAGCAAATCGAACTTTCCTGATTTCTTCCAGCTCAGGAATGACCCTTGATTTTGCTTGCACCTCTGCTTCAAAGGATTCATGCTTCTGATATTTTCCCTGCAGATTGGAAATCAAAGTTTAAGGTTTTAAGTGCTCTGGAGCTTAAAGAGGCCCATTTGTTTCTCTTCTTACTTTTAGGCAGAATGACTCATTTCCAACTTAGATTAAGTGATAAGCTATGACATGCTGAAATAAATGGTCCCTCTGGGTCAAGTGACTACTTAGAGTTTGAAACAGTCCCAGGTTTAAAGTCAGGGAGCAAAGAGGTAGCTTTTTTTTTTTTTTTTAATGTTCCTGCCACTTGGGGGAATTTCCAGTTATTCCTTTGTTATTTTGAAGTTCAATTATCTTCTGTAAGAATGAAGGAGTAAAACACATAGAGTTCTCTGTTTTAAAAAGAGAAGTAACTAAGTGCTATTGAACGTAGAACAGAATGAGGAAGATGATCATTAAGTTTATTTTAATTGAGGTTTTTTCAAGCCAGACTATGTTCCTCTTGTCCTATATAAATTGATGCATTTAACAGATGTCAGTTTGGTCTGGTTCCAGACCTCCCTTTCCAACATCCATGAGCCAGTCTGGGCATGCAGCCCTTTCTTCTGATCCTGACAACATACTATCCTATAGCTCCAGGAGGGAGTGTTCTCCAAACCTCTCCTCTTGGAACCTCTCATTTGGATTTAACCAGGAAAATTAATAGCCATTTGGGAAACAAAACAAAACAAAACAAAACAAACAAAACAAAACAAAACAAAACAGGAAAATCCCAGGTTTAACTCATGTCTTTCTATGGAGAGTGTTGTTTAGAGTATGGATGTCTCTTTAGACCCTAAATGTCACAATATATCAACATCAAGTTAAGATTAACTTCCTAAGAATGTTACTTTCACAGAATGCTCTCCAGGGCCTCCCTGGTGGCACAGCAGGTTAAGCGCCACACTGTGAAGCTGTCTGCAGCCTCTGCAGCACTGGTTCAATTCCTGGCCTGCCAGGGAGATACCCACATGGCGCAGCAGACCTCTCCTGCCTCTCCCGCTGCTCCCCTCTGCTGTGTATTCAGTCTGTCTGCCTGTTCTGCTCTCTGCTGTGTCTCTGGTGAATTCTCTCACCCTCCCGCACCTCTGGCCTGTATCCTAGCTCTTGTATAAATAAATAAATTGTAAAAAAAAAAAAGAAAAAAAGAATGCTCTCCAGAGTGAGTTTCCTTTGTAACCAAGATACTGAGGCTTAAAATGTTAAAGACATGGGCTGTTTAGAGGTAGAATTACTGTCCTTTAAAGATAGTCTAATCTTTTAATTACATCATCCCCATAGAGTTAACAGTCATACTCTTACAACACTGCTCCCCTCCCTACAGATCTCTGGGTAAGTGGGGACATCAGTGGCGCTGAGAGACCTGTATGTTTGTTGGATCTTCATAGTTCTTGTCGCCTGCAATCTTGAGTTTCTCCAAGATCCATTTCTCCAGGTCATCTGCATCCCGTCTAAACACCTGGTAGTGATAGGACTCTTCTAGCTTCTGCCCCCTCTCAGCAACCAGCTCCTTGAACCTCTGATACCGAGCCAACACCTCCTGACGCCTCTCCTGGATTTCTTCTGCTGTCTCCAGCACCTTTGAGCCACCACTCTCCATAACCTGCAAATAAGAAGCTTATCTCTATATTGCTAGTTCTGAAATCTCTAAAATTCTGACTATTTCATATATCCTGGGCATTTGTTCATGTTGGCCCTAAGTCAAGACATCTTTAAGTCTTTGAAAGCCTGTTGTTATAAGGGCTGTAGTGCGTTCATATAATTTGACCACATACAGTTATTAGGCTGACCATTCAAAACACTTTTCACATAAGCCTGTACCAACATTTATTAATTCTTATAAATAGAACTAATGTGCACTAATGATGGAGGACAAGTTTAAATGAGCTAAATCTCAGATTTTCAGACAAATAAAAAAGAAACATGATTTTATTGTTTTCAATGGCTAAAAAGGTATTGGCAAGTACTGATTACTCTGAACTTTATATAATGAATAATTTTAAATGGCTTGCTATTTACATCATGAATAATACACACAAAAGTTTGGAAATGTTTCTTCTTATTTGAAAATGTAGGACAAATTTTTTTTTCACTTGGGAAAAGTATTTTCTAAAGCTCTTGAAATTAAGTAAAAAAACTTACTTGGTCAAAAAATGTAGCTCATATATTGCTTACATTTTTTTTTTATCTGTGTCATTCACAAATGTTACAAATAAAAAAAATCTTCTACCCGATTATCATAATTTTCAAATTATTACCATGTCAGTAACTGACTTTCAAATGTAAACCACTGTCAAACCATCTAAGATACTCCTTCTCGCTAGAGGAATCCAACCTATTTGTGACAATTTCCACAGTCTCCATTAGACCCACCTTCACTCATGTGCATGAGGACACAGTTTTCCCCGTTAATTTTAGCAAGAACATTCAATATTCTTCCTCCTCCCTCCTGAATATTTTTGCAACATAGTGGATGGCTATTACTAATTTGACTTTAGGCTTAAATCATTCCACAGAGACTCAAGTCTTTATTGTGCATTAGTTTGCTCCAAGTTGCCTGGTTGTTCCCTGTGTGAACCCACATAGATGGGTCACTATAAAGCCACAAGTTCAAGGTCTTTTTTGAAGGGAGATAGTCATGGCAGCTCTCCTGCCCACCTGTGAATATGCAGATACTCTCTTTTCTTTTTCCTTTTCCTAATAAACCCATCCTTTTAAAATGTAAAAAAGGAGAAATAGTCACAAAAATAGTTAAATTTCTCTACTTTAAAAAAAAAAAACTTCTCAACTTCTCAAAAGCCAAGAAATCATTCTCAATGGTTCTGTCAAGATAATACAGAGAATTCAAAGGACACAGTTTTCCTGATTGTATTGATGACAAATTGTACAGCAAAGAATTCTGTACTCACGGTTTCCTTTGAAAAGAGCTCTCCTTCTAGAATCTAACCTGCAAGGTAAAATGTATCAGAGACACAGAGAGGAAACATTCACATGAATTGTCTCCTCTAATTCAGAGAGAAGTGTTACATGTGTTGCAGAGACAAGACCAAAAAAAAAAAAAAAAAAAAAAAACCTACACAAAATTGCCTCCTCTTTGGACCCAGAATCCCGCCAACTACAAACTACATTATCTTTAGGAGACAGATTTTGCTGAGGCAGCTACTAACTCACAGCTGCCTGATGACTCAGCGGATTGGGGGGAACATGGCTCTCAAAGTTTTGTCAATAGGCCTTCACACAAAAAAATGAAAGCAAGTTTTTTTTTTTTTAAATGAAAAGTTAGGAAAAAAACAGTCACAGATGAATGATAAAGACATTCTGTAAAGGTTCTGTTCTGTCTCTTTGATCTGTTTCTTTGATAAGTTTTAGATTTTATTCTGAGAATCATACATCAAGAAGGAATTGTGGGTTATCCAACCTTCTGACTACAGAATACAAACTATGTCTAGAAAAGACAACTCAACAGTTTCTTCAAAATTCAACTGCATATTTTTAACAACCTCCAGAAAACATGAAAATAGGACAGACTTCTAAAATGTGAAATAGATGTGATCTTATTTTATGTATTCTTTGTAATGGAGAGAAAAGAAACAAATTCTTTTTAAAGGCATAATTCTTTTTTTTTAAGATTAATTTATTTATACAAAAACCGGGGTACAGGCCAGATGCGCAGGAGGGTGAGAGGATTCACCATAGACAGAGTAGGGAGCAGAACAGGCAGACTGATGAAATACACTGCTGAGGGGAGCAGTGGGCAAGATAGGAGAGGTCTGCTTCACTATGTGGGATTCTTGCTGGCCAGCCGGGATCAAAGCCGTGTTGCAGAGGCTGTGGACAGCTTCACAGTGTGGTGCTCAACTGCCTGTACCACCAGGGAGGCCCTAAAGGCATAATTCTTTTAGGCAACTTTCCAAAAATGAAACAAATAAAAAGAAAATAGTGCGAAGGACATCTAGGCTAAACTTCATTCAGTAAATTCAATTTGAATAATCTAGCTTTCATGCTCTATTAGAATAGGTCAAGGTTCTGCACTTCTGATTTCTCTTGTTCTTGGATCTTTTAATCCAAAGTCGCAGAGAGACCTTTAAATTATGTGTTCGAAAGTCCAGTATTGCCTTTCCATATAGACTTCTTACATTTAAAACAAATTTGGGTTGTAAAGTCAGGAACATACACCCTAGGAATGCCTTATATCAAAGCCAACAAAGAGCCTGTCTGGAGTTGGAGTGGGAGGGGATATTTTAAAGTCTTTGTCCACAAGATAAGACCCACCATATATTAGAATCTGCTATGTCTTAATTTATGTTTTGAAATGAACAATTTACATTAATTTCTATTCTTCGGGACATTTGGTAAAACAGGTATTATCATCACCATTTTTATATGAATAAAGTTTCTGAGAAGTAATGTCATCCCGAGATTACTGCATTTGTAAATGTTTAGAGAGAGTCAAAGAAGACTGTTGTTATGAAGTAAAGTAAAAGCAGGTAAGATCAGCAGTCCCTAGAGCAGACAGTAAGGTGAAGTGTGCGGGACACGGGCAAGGAAGAGGTTCATGGCATTTCCAACCATGAAGCCAGGTAAGATTCCTGAAGCAGTTTCTCTGCCAGCTCTCTGGTCTTTACTCTGCAGCTGCCGAATTTAAAGTCAGCCCCACACTCTCATTTTTGTCTCTTTTGGTTGACATTGTTTCTATAGTCACTCAAATTGTTTACCTGTATTAGGATGAAGAAAGGGTATGATGAGAACATTTTAGTGACTTCAGACCTCTGACCTTCTAAATACTTCTGTAGTTTTCCAAACCTGATCACACAGAGACCCTGATACAGGAGAATCAGGTAAAGGAAGCCTGATGGATATGGTGGAGGTGTACATCATGTACGATCTGTGAAATTGTGTGCTGTATTCTCTAGGCATGATCACCGAGAGGCTACAAAGGAAGCCAGTATTTCTCACAGGCAGCTTCCTGCAGAAAAGTCTTGCATTCAAGTTTACAAGGGTGGGTGGAGTTTGGACGGCTGTTGTATTTGGTTTTTGTTATCAGCTCTGGGCAGCTCAGCACTTCGTATACCAACTTAATCTGCCCTGCTCAGCTTGCCCCAGCCTCTGCTCAGTTATCAGATCTTCTAGTCCATGCTTAGAAATGCTTAAGAGATACTTTATATTCAAAAATTCTGAAATCAGTCTCCTCAGCTTGCATTACTAAAATTCATATCATGTGGATTTTTTGGAATCCAATTTTCTTATCTTTTACCAATAAAGTTATGTAAACTTTTATGTACAACTAATTTTCCCCATGGAATAGAGGTGATTATTATTTCATTATTTTTAATTTCTTATGTTTTTGCTTCTCCAGAATTAGTTCTCATTTTAAAATGTCTCCAATTTTTGCCTCCTAGAATAGTCAAAACATTAATTAATACATCCAAAAAAAGAAGGCATTTTTGTAGTTAACTTTATCTACTTTAACTGTCATCATTTCAGATCCTCTAACATTATTTGCTAACTCTATTTGGGAATTAAAATATTATTCAAGTTTGTAATTTTTATTAAAAAAATGGGATTTCTTTTCCTACCGTTGTTATCTCTCACTCTCCCTACTTTTATTATTCTCTGTTTTATTTATTTGCTATTGTTGCATTGAATAAGAAAACCCCAAAGCAGCAATATTCCCTTATACAGTGAACTATGAAATTGAAATTAAATCTTTAGATAATGGCTTTGAAAGTGACATCCAATTTGAAGGCTTAATTCCACCATTTAATGACCAGATGATCATTGGACATTTGCTCAAATTGTATTAAGTGCATAATGGGAATAGTAAGGACTAATCTCCCTATTCCAGAGAATTGTTGTGTGACTCCATTTAGATGGTTAATTAAAAAGCAATTTGTATTTAAATAGACACAGTGAAAGAATCATTGTTAACTGATATGAATAATGCCAACCACATATATTTCAGCTATTTTAAGTCAGACATTTTATTCTGAATCGTTAATTTTGAAAACCAGAACATAAAGGGCAGAGACTTGAAATGGGATGGTTTCTCATAAAGCTAAATGTTTTTCTTTTAAAGGATGATTTGTAGCATATCATTAGAAAAATCTCATATGAAATTGCTTGATGTTTCCATCCATTAATAATTATCTAGGTACAGCAACCTTGAAGGAAACTGTAAAAGCCTAAATCCTACAAGCCTTATAAAAATAACATGTTTGAGGACATGGTCCTACTCAGGGAACAATGAACTCAACTTAGCTGTTATGGTGTCTGCACCACATGTGCTGTCCACAATTGCACAATCTTTTTTTTTTTTTTAACATTTATTTATTTATTCAAGAATCAGGGCACAGGACTGTGAGGATTCACCAGAGAGAGAGTGGGGAACAGAACAGGCAGACTGACGAAATACACTGTTGAGGGGAGCAGCAGGAGACACAGGAGAGGTCTTCTGCGCCATGTGGGTTTCTCCCCTGCTGGCTGGGATTGAACTTGTGCTGCAGAGGCTGTGGACAGCTTCACAGAGGGGCACTCAACCACCTGCACCACCAGGGAGGCCCAAAATTGCACAATCTGGATGAAAAAATGTGCTAGGGTTCATGCATGTGTGACTGAGGAAGGAAGCAAAGTTGCAGAAGATATTCTAAATTTGATTCAAACTACAGAAAGACAATTTAGATATCCAAATAATTGAGGAATTGAAGAATCCACAGAAGCAGGAACCTAGGGTGACCTGAATGTAAAACTGAGACGTCATGACTGTAGGGTTGCAGAGGGGGCTGACACAATGATGATCTGGCAAACTTTAGAATGAAAGTGGAAGAAGTACATTTGCAGGAGGCAAACAGCCAGCATGATGGTCTTTTGTTCACTGACCAGGCCAGAGAGCATCTTGGGGATGGTGGTGGTGGTGTACCAGATCTCCAAATACACATCGCATATTCTTTTTCTCCTGGAAATATTTGGCCAATATCATTTTTCACCTCCTCCATGTATTTTGGATCCTCTCCCATACAGATGAAGCTACAGTTGAAGAGAAATGTTTTCCTCAGTTCATAGAGGCTCTGGACCTCTGACATCAGCCCCAAACTCATTCAGCCAGAACCATTTGCCATGTCTTCTGGCAAATGGGAGAGAATACACACCACTACAGGTATCTTGGAAATTATTAACAACTTGACTTTCCCGAGTAGTTTCTTCAAGGGTATCTGAATACTTCTAGTACCAAAAACAAAACAAAGCAATCCATCCTTTTAAGATTAGTGCAGGAAATGAATTTGGCATGCAATTAGAGATGCTATTCCAGAGCTTGGCTGCCACCTCACTCACTAGTATCTAGATCACAGGCAGATTTTGAAAAGGCAGGAAAGAGTCAGGAGGGAAATGTGTGAGAGAAAAGTGGAAAGTGAAAAAATGAAGAGAAGTTTGGGAAGAAGGGTAAGAACAAAGAAAGGAACAACCTTCTGTCTTGGTCTTTGTTTACCTTGTAGACTAGTAAATGCTTAATCTTTCTACTTTACCCCACCCAGATTCTTTATACATCCATTCCCATCTTCCTCTGGCTGTAATCTAACTAAACTGGACTTGGTCATCCTGCTCCTTTGTAATCTATAACCTCAGTGCATATCTGGAGAATGTGTGCAGTGAGAGCAAACTGAGGGATGGAAAGCAAGAGTTGAGAATCACACTCAATATTGGGATTATTTAGTTGTAGAAGCCAAATGCCACTGATAATTTTTGCTTCATATGCTCTTTTAACATCATGTGTAGTGTACAAAAGAATACAATGGTGGTCTTGTACTTATTATTGTTTGCATACAAAAAACACTTTGCACGCAAGTTGATGCAAGTACCATTTGATTTTTTCTCATGAAAATAACAATTTCTATGTAAATATGTAAGAATATTTCATTATTGCAAATTACATCCTTTGAACCAGAAACTTTGGAAACCAGTCCCTTCAAAATGAATTTCACATATCTACCTAAAAGATTCA